GATAACTAGGGTTTTTAGAATTCAACAAGAAGTATCTCCATGGAGAAGGCCTAAGACAAATGGTCGCTCTTGGGCTTGCTAAGGAGGTACAACAGTCTGGAGTGTACCTGACCTATGGGGTGGGGCCTAATTCTTCCTCTGCAGGCTGATATGGAACCCGTGGTAACATCAGGGGCCTCAGAAGCAGTGCCAAGGGTGCCTTCTGGAGATCCTCAAAACATCTGTATGTTTTCCTTCAGGACTTGGTATAGACCCAGTGCTGGGCCCTAGGGAGGGGGTGGGACAGTCAGGCCCTGCCCAGCTGTGGGGAGGGAGTAAAGGCAGCAGGAACCCCTCACTGCACTCAGGTGCCCTGTACTATCCTGAAATTAGCTGCCAGTGTATACCTGCACAGAGTCTCTGCTTCCCAAGTCAGCCATATCCATGACGGAGACACCTCCAGGACACCTGGTCACCCCTCTTCCCCATCCACAGTTTGGACCTAGTTGAGGGTGGGGAGAGAGTCATGCCCAGGCCCCTCAGATAGTGCTCTGCTCACAGATGTGGTCAGGTGGCTCGTCTAGTCATCTGGGTAAGCCAGTTGTGTGGGGTGCACTGCCTGCCAGAGACTGTGTCCAATGGGAGTCAGAAGAGTCTGCAACCACTGGTAGGCAGCTGTGCCCTGGCGTCAGGCCCCAGCCCACCACGGCTCTTGCTGTTGTTGCAGCTGATGTGGACGCCTTCAACTTGCTGCTGGAGATGAAACTGAAGCGACGGCGTGAGCGGCCCAACCTTCCACGTACTGTGACCCAGCTGGTGGCTGAGGATGGCAGCAGGGTGTATGTGGTGGGCACTGCTCACTTCAGCGATGACAGCAAGCGGGATGTAGTGAAGGTGAGCACTTTTGTTACTACCATCTGCCGGTCTGTACTCCAGGGACACAGGCCGGGGCAACCAGGCATTTCTAACTCTGGAGTCCCCCAGGAATGATGGTGGGGCTATTTATTAGAGCCATATGTGTAACCAATAAAGCTGTCCCATGGCTTTCTTTGGTTGCCTTTTCTCTAGAATTTGACACTGAAGCCACATAAGCTGTTAGCACTGACTACCCCCTGGGGTGGGGCTCCTTGTCCAGTGTAGAGCATCCAATAGGATGGGTCTATTGGAGTGTGGCCCTTGCTTTACAGACTATCCGAGAAGTGCAGCCCGATGTGGTCGTTGTGGAACTCTGTCAGTACCGCGTGTCCATGCTGAAGATGGACGAGAGAACACTGCTCCGAGAGGCCAAGGAGGTCAGCCTGGAGAAGCTGCAGCAGGCTGTCAAGCAGGTACACATATGAGTGACCCATGGGCTCTGGGTGCCCAGGTCCACATAGAGACCTAAAGCTGCTGCCCTGTAAAGAAGGGGCCAAGACTAAGAGCCCAGAGTCTCCTTTGAGCTAATGACAGGCAGGCTCCTCCCAGGGCCAACCTCTGGTTATTGCCATAGTATGCATCCTGGTTGCAAGCCCACTTTCTCACTCAGGAGAGGGTAGCGGCTGGAAGAGGAGGCGAGGACGGCTCCTCCTCCACAAGGCAGGAGCAGGACAGAACTGAAGCCTGGTTTGCTGAGCTGCAGTGGTGGCTCTGAGCATTGCTGTGTGACCCTTGTCTTCCACGTTGCCCAGGCCCTCAGGGCTAGGAGAAGCAGCTCTTAGTAGCGCCTCCTTGTCATCTTGGTTTTCAGAGGGCACCAGGCATGCCTGCCCCAGCTGCAGCGTATCTCCTCTTGTTTGAAGGAAATGAGTTAAAGTCTCATGTGAGTGTCCCCAGACATACTGAGCACTTTTCACCCTGGAATCTCCCACATAAGGGATATCACCATAAACCTTTTCTGGAAACTTTTAAAAGAAGTCGCCATTCAGTCAGGTGTCCCTAACCCCCATGCACCCTCCTCACAGCAGAGGGTTTATACTGCACTGGAAGAAGAGCCATGCAACTGACTGGGGCCTAGCTAAAGGGCAGGAAAGGGACACGGCTGGCTCCAGCCGCTCCTCATCCCCAAGGAGTCTCAGGCAGCACTTAGTCTTCCAGCTGCAGTGTGTGACAACATACACAGGTGCTGTCCGCCAGGAGGCTACTGTCCTGGTCAGCTTTTATTGTGGGTTGACTTTGTGGGCACAACTGACCATATCAGCTCTAGTTCCTCCAGTACTCAGTTGCTACTTCCTGACCCATGACCCCACAAGGTGAGCGTAGTAGCGCACAGCTTTAATCCCAGCACTTGGGAGGCAAATGGATTTAGATGGATTTCTGTGAGTTCAAGTATAGTCTGGTACACAAAGCAAGTTCCAAGCCAGCCAGGGCTACATTTTAAAAAACAGACCAAAAAAAAAAAAAAAACCCAAGACCCTCCAGCCCCATCTAAATCTCATGGTCAGCCTAGACTTTGCAGTCTGTCCCCTAGGTCAGATAAATAAGGACACTCCTATTGGATAAATTATGACCAGAACTCAGGGCTAGCTGTTGTGGTATACACCTTTAATCCTAGCACTTGGGAGGTGGGAGGCAGAGGCAGGTGGATCTATGTGAGCTCAAGGCCAGCCTGGTCTACAGAGCAAGTTCCAGGAAAGGCTCCAAAGCTACACAGCGAAACCCTGTCTCAGGAAAAAAAAAATTATCACCAGGTCTCACAGTGCATTCTCCTGAATCAAGGGCCATATCTTCCTGGGGACAGTACAAAATCTGTGCGGCAGCTCACAGGGTAACCTTTCCTAAGGAAGGGCCAGCTGTCTCAGCCATGCGGGGAGTGGAGGGGAGTCTCAGCATACTGACCCACCTCAGCCCAGCCAGCCTGGCCAGACCAGAGGCAGCCACTGGCCCCTGTGGATGCTAGGCATCCCTGTTAGGTGCCGGACTCCAGCCTGGGTCAGCCTGTGCCTCAGACACCTGGTCAGGTAGTTCCTGACAGTAGCCTCTTCTCAGCATCTTTGGTCATCCTATAAAGAAAACTTTTCCAGAAGAAACGCATTTGAATGATTCTTGAAGCGAAGGCGACCTGCTGTTGTCTGACCCTCCTCATGTACTAGGTTTGCCTGCCCCTGGCCACTGGAAAGGGCCTGAGAACAGTCATGGGTTGAGGCCTAGCTCAAGGGCATGCTGATGTCTTCACACTGCTTTGCCTTGCACATTCTGCAATGTAGCTGACATGGTTCCTCTTCCTGCAGAATGGGCTCATGTCCGGACTCATGCAGATGTTGCTACTGAAGGTGTCTGCCCACATCACTGAGCAGCTAGGCATGGCCCCTGGTGGTGAATTCAGGGAAGCCTTCAAGGAGGTGAGTGCTAGGCTAGGGGATATATGGACTGGTGGCAGCTACCCATGGCATCCCAAGTCCTAACATCCAGTCTCTACCTCAGGCCAGCAAGGTACCATTCTGCAAATTTCACCTGGGTGACCGGCCCATCCCGGTCACCTTTAAGAGGGCCATTGCTGCACTCTCCTTCTGGCAGAAGGTCAAGCTGGCCTGGGGCCTATGCTTCCTGTCAGACCCAATCAGGTAGGACAGCCTCCCTGACCTATTCGTGGCACATTCCATACCTGCTGTGGTCCCTACCCTGAGTCAGCAAGAGACTTCCCATGTGTCCATCACCACGGTCTGCCAGCAAATCCCTGTTCATCCCCTGAGCTAGCAGCTTGCCCTCTGCCCTCAGCAAAGATGATGTGGAGCGCTGCAAGCAGAAGGACCTGTTGGAGCAGATGATGGCAGAGATGATTGGGGAGTTTCCTGACTTGCACCGAACCATTGTCTCAGAACGTGATGTGTATTTGACCTATATGCTGCGTCAGGCTGCACGGCGCCTTGAGCTTCCCCGCGCCTCTGATGGTGATGGACAGGCCAGGGTGGGAACTCCCCAAGATACTAGTTCCTGTGCCTGTCACTGACTTTCGCCCTCCCCTGACAGCTGAGCCCAGGAAGTGCGTCCCATCTGTGGTTGTGGGTGTCGTTGGCATGGGTCATGTGCCTGGCATTGAGAAGAACTGGAGCACCGACCTCAACATCCAGGAGATCATGACGTGAGTGCCTTCCCCACCTCTCCCGGCAATCCCTGCACCTGCACATGGTGGTGACCCACACATGGGAAGACCTGGGGAGTGCATGTTCCAGCCAAGCCTACCACACCTGTCCTTCCTATAGAGTTCCCCCTCCGTCCATCTCGGGCAGAGTGTCCCGGGTGGCCGTGAAGGCTGCCTTCTTTGGCCTGCTGGGCTACAGTCTGTACTGGATGGGCCGTCGAACCGTGAACCTGGTCCTATCACTGCCTGCTGCACGGTTTTGCCTCCAGAGAGTAAGCGAGGCCAGGACAGGCCGGTAGGAGGACCATGGAAAGAAGAGACCACACCCAGGGGCTCTACTCCTCTGCATCGCATCTGGTGCTCCCGAGGAACTGGCACCACCTGTCCAGGGATGTCCCTGGGTGCAGATGCATCCAAGCCACCCCCTATGGGGGCCTAGGCTAGGCTTACCCTACCTTCCCTATGCCCAGCCCACCCAAATAAAGAATATTTAACTGTCTGAGCTCAGGCTTCCCAGCAGCCCCCCACACACACTGTAGGGGCCACCCTTGAGCATCAGAGCCGTCCACAGTGTCAGGACCCAGCAGCCTATTTCCAAAAGGGCCAGAGCTGAGGGGAGGCACTGAAGTGCCCCAGGCCTGCCCCAGGGTGGGCTGGCAAGCTGTTGCTCTACCTACCTCTCTGTGCCTTGTGCTCTGGCTGGCAGGAGCATCTGGCCCCGAGTGCATCTCACTGTGGGTTTGGAGCTGGCAACTTTGAGGAGCGGCTGTCCATGTAGCTCCTTCCTGCGGGTGTGTAGGGCCTGGACGTGCATGTGGCGTTGCCAGCTGCACCTCTGCCTGCAGAGAGTCTGTGGTTTGGTTTTTTTTTTTTTAATGTCAAAAAGTTTTTTACTCAGGTAATTTTGACGTCAAAGAAAAAACAAACTAAAGCAAATACCAGGAAATACAAGCCTTAACTCCAGTGAGGACAAAGAAGTCTTTTTATTTGTATTTGTGCGCCCCAAGTGGGCAGTGTATGTTAGAGTCAGCTTGCCGAAGGGTCCATGCCAACCCCTGCTAGACTCCACAACAGCTCAGTGTGGTGTGGGGCTGCGTCAGGTATCAGCCTGCTTCCCTGGCTGCCCTTGGCGCTGGGAGGGGCTTGACCTGATTCCTGTGGATTAGGTGGGATGCCCAAACTGCAGTGTGGACAGTAGTGGACCCACCATGGGCCACAGACCTAGGGCCATGGTTGTCTTGGGCATGCCCAGCCATTTGTGTGTACAGGCTGTGGTCCCTGGCGTATGATACAGCCTGGCAAGACCAAGACCACTCTGATTATCCTTATGTTGACTGCCAAATCAGGTGAAACACTGAACTGGCCAGGGGGTACGGGGCTGGTTGGGCTGTGTACTTCCGTCTCACACTCGTGGATTCATTCCCTAGAAAGAAAAATAAATTTTAATTTTGGAAGCTCCCGTTTTGTGAAGTGTATGGAAATGGGACTCAGGTGATGGGGACTGGCTTCCTCTTTTGTCGTCTGCCCCCAGGTCTGTAGAATGCTAGAGGTACTCCTGCATCCCAGGGTACATGCTATCCAACTCAGCAGAGTGTATAGGCTTTAGCCCCTAGTGCTCACTGTTATCTAGCAAGGTTATCTGTGTGCCGGCCATATAGTCAGCACCTGTATACCCTCTGGTTTGCACTTCACTGCCTGGCAAATGTGGGAGAGGGAGTATGTCATTTCCAGGCCAGAGCAAGACAGACCCTGAAGATAGTGAAGTTCCTATTAGTGACAGCAGTAAGAACACATGGTCTGGCCAAGGCTGAGGTGCTACAACCTACTGTTACAGAAAAAAAAAGGTGTACATATAAAACATCCCACCTCCAATGTAGGAGGTAGGGGGATTCTCTAGTGTAATCAGACAGCTCTAGGGGCAGAGCTAGGTACATTGCAATTTTAGAAGCCCACTGTGGCCCCAGGAAAATTTCCAGATGTGGATTCTTGAGGTGTAGAACTGAAGGCAGAGGCTGAAATGAAGAGACAGCCAGGAAGGAATGTGTGCATTTGCCCGTGCTCAAAGGACTAATAGGCTTCCCTGAGCACTGGATGCTGTCCACCTCCCCATCAAGGCTCATATCCACCTAGACTGCAAGTGACAGATACGAAATGGGGAGAAATGGAAATGTGATCACTTCGGAGAGAAATTCTGGATGTAGAACCAAGGTCCCAGGTAAGCTCAGAGCTCTGCCCTGACCCATTGTCCAATCTCTGCTTCCGCCTTGCCCTGGTACAATTGATAACCCGAATTACCCCTGTATTAAGTCTTAGGTGGCCAGCTCCTACCTGTCCCACAGATCCCAGGAACACTGACAAGACTTCTGGTCCATCTCTGATAAAACAGATGAGAAAAAAAATTGTCCTAATGGAAGGGCACTGCATATTCTACATTTTAAGAACATATTTGTACTTGGTTGTAGAAGGGAACCTACATACACACATTGATAGTGTGCTCTGAGTTAAGCATAGACATTATCCAAACAGCTGACTCAGGAAGAACGAAAGACTCGGCCCTTGTTTGCAAACCCTCCTGCTGCAGGGAGGGGATGATGGAGAGAAAAGGACCAACACCATAAATCTGAAACAAGATTAACCAGAGGGGCAACACTAAACTTTGGAATGGCTGACTGCCTTTGTTTACTGGCTGGCTGGCTAAAGATGAGATGAAAAATACATCTTTAGGATGTTAAACTACTGTCTTAAATTGTTGGGGCTATCCGAATAAAACAGTTAAAAGATTCAGTTTCTGGTTTTTTGGGTGTGATGGACAGAACCGGTCAAACCTAAAGCACCCAGTGGGGCTTGGCTCCCCATCAGTCGGGGGCGGCCCCTCGTGGTCTTTTAGGGACGTCACTCAGAATGTAAACCCACTTGGAGTAGTCCAGTCTGTCACATGTCACTCGGGTGGGAGCTTCGGAACTCTGCTGGCCCGGTGCACTTGTGCCAAAGTTTACAGAACGTCTCAAACCCACTCTAAAGTGCAACTACTCGAAGCCCGGAAGTGGAGAAACAAGACAGAGACCCAATCAGAGCTAAGCTTCTGGGCGTGCCCCCTACCAAGCCAAAATTGGGCCGGGAAGAACTTCCGGTCATGGCGAGCGAGCTTCCGGCGGTGAGGCGAATGGCCTCTCTCAGGGCCGCGTTCGGTGCTTCGCTGGTTGCCCGAACCCGACCGCAGTCCGTCGGCCTAGCGCTTCCGTCGCCCGCTCCCCGGTCCGCCTGGGCTGCTGCCATGGAGCCCACGCCGCGCTGGCTGGCGGGGCTGCGCTTCGACAACCGCGCCCTGCGCGCGCTGCCCGTAGAGACGCCGCCGCCCGGGCCAGACGACGTCCTGTCCACCCCGCGGCCGGTGCCCGGAGCCTGCTTCAGCCGTGCACGGCCCGCCCCACTGCAGCGGCCGCGCCTCGTGGCGCTGTCGATGCCCGCGCTGGCGCTGCTGGGGCTCGAGGCGAGCGAGGAGGCCGAGGTCGAGGCCGAAGCCGCGCTCTTCTTCAGCGGCAATGCCCTGCTGCCGGGCGCCGAGCCCGCCGCGCACTGCTACTGTGGACACCAGTTCGGCCAGTTCGCTGGGCAGCTGGGCGACGGCGCCGCCATGTACCTGGGCGAGGTGTGCACTGCGGCCGGCGAGCGCTGGGAGCTGCAGCTCAAGGGCGCCGGCCCCACGCCCTTCTCCAGGTGCGGAACCCGCGCGCGCGCTTGGGTGAAACGGGAAGGTGCTCGGTGGCGCTTTTCGCCCCGGGTGGACAGCTGTGCGCCCAGAAAAGCTCCGTGGAGGGGGTAGGAGGTAGAAGGTGGAGCGTCTTTGCAAAGGGTTTTGTGGAGGAAGGCAAAGAGGCCTGGCTGGGAGGTGCCGGGTGGCAAAACGGAGAACAGAAAGTTAGGGGCTGTGCCCCCTTCTGGCTGACACACTGTAGAAGTCTCTCGCCAGCTGCTTGTTCTGTCACGTGAAGTAGAAGGAACACGCCTCTAATGGCTGTCAGTTGTGTTGTCAGAAAGACACCCAGGACTTTGGAGCCAGTTCCAGGAATGATACTGTTTGCTGTATCTTGTCCAGAGACCAGTGAAAGTGCTGGCCTGGTGTCCAGGCACTTGTTTTCCCATGCTACTTAGCAATCTGCTTCCCCAACTTGCCCAGACTCTAGCAGGCCTCTTTGCACCGTCTGAGCACTGGAGGGACAGTCTTTTCTCATACCCACCCCCTCTGTCACCATTTCCCAAGCTCTACACACCAAAAGGTGGGTAGTTCTTGGATTCCTGTGGGGAGTACACGGGCAGTCCAAGGCAGGCCTGTCCAAATCCAGACAAGCCCAAAGAAGCTTCTAGCCAAGTCCTGCCACCCAGGTCCAGACAGCACTTGGGGCTCTGTCCCTGTTTGTCACTACATGATTGGTACGGATGCTTGTTAAGTGACTAAAAGATAGTAAGTTGGGATTTTGTGGTTTAGCACTCCTGCCTTTCTTCCTCCAGCCACTAACCTGCCAACCATCCCCCACCAAGCTGTGTCTGTCTCAGACTAGAAAGCCTTTTGATCTGTGCTCCATGCCTATGGTCTTACACTCTACTGCTGGCCTGGAACAACCTTCTCAGAGGTGTCTGCTCCTGGGAAGAAAGGCAGATGCCACATTCCAGAGCCCCGCTCATTCTGCGAGCAGCCTTAAACGTCTTCATTTTGATAATTTTTGTTCACCAGTTACCAAAAAAAGGAAAAAAATTAACCTTTTGTCAGGATAATTTGATGCTGAAAGGCTTTGCTATATCCCATCATGGTGCCAAGAACCAATCTCACGTTCTAGACTACTGCTGAGCCACATGTCCTGTCATGAAAGATGCTTTTTATACTTATTTTTAGTTGATGCTTCCACACCTGAGGCCAGCTAAAATCAGGGATCCCTGTGACCCTTGCTTAGGTCTCATACTTGTCTGTCAGGGTCCCTGACCTCAATGCTTTGCCAAGACCTCAGGCTGAGGGTGGAGACAGTTGTGAGATCACGGTTTCTGGAGTCCTGAGATGGAGGCCTGGCCTCCTTGCCCTGCCTCCCCACTACTTTGGATGTAGGGCTTCAAGACAAGCCCCTGTGGTAAGCTCAAGAACTCTACTCAAGAACTCAGTCCTGTGCAAAGCAGCCTACCTTCCTGCCCAGGATTAGGGTCACTACAGAGAAGCCAGAATTGCCACATGGTCACAGAGCAATGATGGGAGGGGGTAACTGCCAGAAGAGAGCTCACAGGACATCTGACTTGTTTCTAAGATCACATTTACTAGACTTCAACTGTGTTAGCATGGACTATGTTGTGGGGCTTCTTTGTTTTTGTTTTGTCTTTTGGGGTTTTTTTTTTAGACAGGGTCTCACTACATAGCCCTGGCTGTCCTCAAACTTGCTTCATAAACTACACTGTCCTTGAACTCCCAGAGATCCATTTACCTCTGTTTCTCAAGTCCTGGGATTAAAATAAAAGCATGTGCCTCCACACCAAGTTTGATCTTAAACTTCTGATTCTTCTGTCTTCCATGTCCTGAGATTGCAGGGCTGCACATAATATTGGTTTGATTGGTTCCGGGTAGCGCATCCAAGGCATCCCTCATTCAAGGAGGGGCTATGGATGTAACCTGTCCAGGTTGCTGGTGTGCTGGGCTCCCAATATTGTACTATGTTATGCTAAGAACAAAACGGGCCCAGGGTGTAGAGAGAGTTCAAGGTACACAACTACCCATAGAATGCAGTTTTCTTGTCCCATCTTATTCTTTAGATCCCTGTAGCCCCTGCTGAGTCATGTAGACTTGTAGCCATGCAGTTCTGTTTCCTTTAGGGGTGTGGCACATGCCACATGTCCAACAGTGGTTTGTTGCAGCACTACCTACTATGCTACAGTTGCAACAGTTTCTGCTTGCCCTTTGGGCTTGGAGCAGAGCCGGTGTCCTTCTCTGAGTGACAGCTTACTAGTGTGTGTTAGCATTTTTATTGCTGTGAAGAGACACCATAACCACGGCAACACTTGTAAAGTAAAACATTGAATTGAAGGGACTCGCTTATAGTTTCAGAGGCTCAGTCTGTTATGACGGGGAGCGCATTGGTGTGCAGGCAGATATGGTGCTGGAGCTGAGAGTGCCACATTTTGCAGGCAACAGGAAGTCAACTGACTGTCACACCAAGGGAAGCTTGAGCAAGAGAGACCTCAAAGCCCACTCTCACAATGACTCACTTCCTCCAACAAGACCACACCTCCTAATAGTGCCACTCCCTTTGGGAGCCGTTTTCTTTCAAACCACCACACAGTGATTTTCCATATTTTCATTGCTGCAGATAGTGCTGGTGTCTGTGTGTATACACTGATTATTGGAAGAGTTTTTTTTGTAAAATACTCCTGAAGACAAACTACAGATTTGAAGTGTATCTCTTCACCTAGCCTTAGTCATATGATTGCCACACCAAAGCTCTTGGGAAACATGGTCCGGAATAACCTTTGCCTGACTGACTCCCTGGCCTGTGTTTGATTTCAGACAGGCTGATGGTCGCAAAGTCCTGCGGTCAAGCATCCGTGAGTTCCTGTGCAGTGAAGCTATGTTTCACCTGGGGATCCCCACCACGAGGGCCGGGGCCTGCGTCACATCTCAGTCCACAGTGATTCGCGACGTGTTCTATGATGGTAATCCAAAATATGAAAAGTGCACGGTTGTGTTGCGTATAGCTCCCACTTTTATAAGGTAATGCCGGGGTCCATTAGGCCTGTCTACGCACACTTGCTCATAGCTCATAGAAGATCCATGCTTATGCAGCCAGAATCTTGAACCCAGCTCATGAACCAGCAACAGCACTTGGCTGTGGTCAGGATTTAGCCCCAGATGCCTCTTGATACCCCTTGACCAAGAACTATATAGAATTTTCACAAGGAAATGGCCTCATTTAGTGCCACCATAAGTGGGCTCCTGTAGCTTTTTTTCCTTACTCTTCCAGTGACTCATTAGCCTACACCCTCCTGGCAGACTCCTTTTTCCCCCGCTTTAGCTTGGCGTCCCCCACTTCAGGGGCTGTCTGAATGAGGGATTGCCAGGAGGTGGCTAATGTGTTCGCATGGCTCTCCATCCTGTCATGGCCAGGCTAGTTAGTCATCTGATACTCACCACACCCTCACACAAGGCACACTGTTGGTCTCTGGCTTTTTCTGACCTCTGGGAAGATGATAACTACTGCACCCTAGAGGCCCTTGTACAATGTTGACAGCACCACTGGTCTCTGCCCACCAGTTGCCAGTAGCAACACAGTTACAATAAAAAAAAGTCAGCTGGGCATGGTGGTGCACGCCTTTAAATCCCAGCACTCGGGAGGCAGAGGCAGCTGGATCTCTTGAATTCAAGGCCAGCCTGGTCTGCAGAGCGAGTTTGAGAACAGCCAGGGCTACACAGAGAAACCCTGTCTCCATACATGACTAATGATGTCCTTTGTGGGACAGTCACCCTGCTAAGACACTGCACTCGTACATTGTCTGTGGTAGAGTCAACCCTGCTTGTCCTCACAGTATGTGGGGTATACAGAAAACCCTGTGTGGAGTTAGATCTGGCAAAGTAGACAGCAATGGCAGTGTCTGGGCCTAATGGGCCTCCCAGGATATGGGAACCAGAGGTTAACTGGCTGGCCGTTGACTAAACTAAGTCATGTCTGTCACTCAGAGGTCTGGCTATGCTCTGGCTGGGTGTTGCTTTGTCTGTTCAGTGTGCTCTTCATTGTAGGGCTAAAAGGCCTTGTAACCATGCTGGAGTTTCTTTTCCTCATAAAGGGATGGGGTCTCTGACCTACTGAACACTGGGGTCTTTCCTGCAGATTTGGCTCCTTTGAAATTTTTAAGTCCCCTGATGAGCACACAGGGCGTGCAGGCCCTAGCATGGGACGAAATGATATCCGAGTGCAGATGCTCGACTACGTCATCAGCTCTTTCTACCCTGAAATCCAGGCTGCCCACACCTGCGACAGTGACAACATACAGAGGAACGCTGCCTTTTTCAGAGAGGTAGGCAGAAGGTTTCCCACTGGCCCTCCCCATTGGCCTTGGGTT